CAACAGTTGATATGTTTTTTGGATTACGACTTGATTACAGGTTAGGGTGAAATATAATTCACTGGCATGTTAGCTCAGAACTCAGGCCTGATCTGAGATAGGCACAAACTTAATTTCCAGTTTTCTTCTATCTTTGCCTTTGCATCATGCAATATGTTCTGGCACAGAGAGCAAAGATACATAAAATATCTTTGAAAGTTATGATATCTTGATTAAAACAATTTTCTTTTTAAATCTGTTGATTTATTTTTCATAGATGTTCCTCTTATTTTATTTCAACAGGAAAATACTTTTCAATTAAGAAAATCAATCACCTCCCCCATTTCTCTTGTTGCTGGTATTTTTGTTTGGGGGGGAGGGAGTTAATTGTTTTTGAGGCAACATCTTATTTAGTAGTCTAGTGTTCTCAAATGCTGAGATTATTGTCATGCCATTTTTAACTGTGTCATCAGTACATACCCTCTTACCTATGAATAAAAACATAGACTTGTGTTTTAGGAGCTAATAAAAGAACCCCCAAAATGAAACTTGGATGTGAATCCTCTAGGACTGATAATTCATCATCTACTCTCTAATTTGCTCTTCTCATTGATCAGAGCACATCCCAATCCAAACTTAGCCCATTCAGTTGAGGAGTCCAGCTAGCACCAGTATCAACTGGTAGCTGTCTGTAATACTGAGGCAACCAAGTGTGGTGTCATGTTAATATATTTGTGACAAAATGTTTGCAATTGAACTGGAACTACTTAAGACAGCCCACGCTGCCAGGAAGAACACGTCCCATGTGCCTTTGATGTATGACAGCAATATTCTTAGAGGGTTTTTTTTTTTCTAGGAGAGTTTGTTTTTCATTTTGTAAGAAAGGTATCGCTATCATTTCCGGTTCTGTGTCAGCAACTGAAATGTTGAGGGCCAGCTTGTGACAGGCTTCGCTGTATTCCTTTGTCTCTTCCACCATTCATCCTCATTGACTACAAGTGTCCTGGCTGTCACCTTCTTTTATTTTATCATTGAGATTACAATATGATTAAACCATCTCTCCCTCCCCTCTTCTTCCTCCAAGCCCTCCCACAGGGCCCTCCCCACTCCCCTTCAAATTCATGGTTCTTTTCTCACTAATTGTCATTGCATGCTCATATGTATTTATATATACATATATTTTTTTAAAAAAATAATTTGTCTTTTATCTTCTTAAATTATAACAATTCTCAATTATTTTTGATAGTCTGTGTCAAATAAATCTAAGTAACTTAATAAATCTTTAGTATATCTGTCTACTCTGTATAAAATTGACAGAATAATAAAAGCTGTAGTTTTAGGAAGCTAGAGAATAAAGCTTTGGACGTTAAGACATGCTTTGTGCGCATGTTGATTTAATATCTAAATGTTGTTAGATGTGTGACAGTCTGTCCACACTCTACTGCTTCTCAAAAGGTGCTGTATTTTTTAGAGCTATTTGCCCCTTATTTAAAATTCAAGTTTGGAAGGTGTACCCCACATCTGAGACAGTAGCGCATGTGTAGGCCTCACCTCTTTTGTTCTTAAGCCCCTTCCAGGAGCTAGGGAAGCATCTTCCTGGGCTCAAGCAGCCCTAAGGCTTCCCTTTCATTGGGGAAGGAGTCTGTGAGAGGGCTGAGGGATTACCAGAGAGCTTTTGAAGAAGATGTTGCTTTATCTGACTAAAGGAGTCCTGCTTCAAGTCTAAATGAGATAACCTTTTTTGTTCCTATGTTCTTAAACTAAGAGGGGAGGGGAAAGTTCTTAGACTTGAAGTTCTAAACAAAGGCCTAGTCCCTTAAACATTCAAACTAATGGATAAAGGTTTAGAAGGTAATACATTTAGTGGTAACCAGTCACATAAAACACTGACAGACATGTGTGGAACAAACTTAGATTTTTTTTTTTTCAGGAACGTGGTTGCAACTACAGATGATCATATTAAACAAATTAGGCCAGTGTCCTTGGAACAAAATACTGCATGTTCCATTTCGGTTGTGTTTCTAGATACGTATGTCCCGTCATGATACACAGATGATAAAATTACATGTGTATATGTGACGTGAAGTGAATATGTGTAGTGAAAAAGCCCAGAAGAGCAAAATGAACTAATGGCACAGGGTGGAGAAAGGTCAGAGGTCAGCCTGGGAGCGTTTACCCAGAGGATGCTGAATCCTTGCATGAGGATGTCCTGAGAGGACCCAGTATAGTGCACAATGAAAGCAAAATAGACCAGTGAAAATAAAAAAAAAAAAAAGTTCTTAAAGTTGGCTCACATCATAATTCATGAAATTTACTAGCATTTACATATATTAAACCTTCCATTACGGCTTATGTTTTTTTGCAGAGGAGAGTTGAGTCTTGTTTTTTAATTAGCCAGCCAGTCTGCATATGTTTAACTGGTGAGCTGAGGTCACTTGAATTGAAGTTGGAATTGAGAAAGCCTGCTAATTTTATCTTTGTAAGTTTCTTTTACTGGTTGACTATCTTACCCTTTGTTCACGGTGTCTACTCTCCTGATGTTAGAGGCTTTCTAGTTCACTGTGGTGGACATGATGGGTTCTTTCTTGCCTCTCCTTTACTTGTCAGTTCCTCTCATAACCTGTATTTTCCTTTTCTCTGCTCCTACGATCAAACCTTTCCTTCTTCCTACTGTGCTCCTTTGGTGTCTTGCTGACATCACTCTCTGGGTACCAACTGATTTCCTCACTTACCTGCTTGCTGAGGTCACTAGTCTTTTTTTGTCAATCTCTTGCTCTTAATCTGGCTTTCTCTCTATTTGAGCATCTTAGAAATCAGTAGGGGAGGGTACAGAGTTTGAAGGATCCACTTGCCAATGACCCTTGAGATGAGAAGGCTGTCCTACCTCCGCATTATGCAAGCATATAACGGGAGCTGTGCTCAGCAAGACTTCCTTCTTGGAACTTGTGTTTGGATTTTACGATTGTCTGGCTGCTGTCTACTTTCATAGATTTCTGATGTTCATCATTTTTCTTCTGTTGTATCATTGCTTGTAAGACAGAGTCTAACCATGACTGCTTTCAGGGCTTGCTTGTTGGAAGCAGGGGTGTGGGGGACTGGGCAGGATCTGGGCAGTGTCTGCTTAGATTCATTGTGTATTCAGCCCACAGGAAATATGAGGGCTCTGGATGGAACATCTCCATCCTTGGTGTGTGTCACTTGCTCCACCTTCACTGCCATAGGGTTGCCTGCTTGAAAATCTGTGGTCGTTCATGGCAGAACAGCTATTAAATTTCATGGAGGCATGTTACACATTACATGAAATTATTCTTTTCTTTATTCCTCACCATAAAATAAATTGATTTGCTTCTATTTTTATTTTCTAATACCAATGAGTGTGTCTTGAGGACAGCAATATACAACCCATAAATAAATGTTTAGTAAACGAAGACTAATATTACTGGGACAATATACTGCACCGATAGCAACAGAATTCAGGTTTTTGAATCCCAGGACAATGTCTGATCACATGTTGCCCCTAAAGCTCTAGTAAGACCATAGTTTTACACCTATATAACGTTGTATTTTAAGTAAACACAAACAATTTAATATTACTTTCTTTTGCATTCTGTAAAGTAACTCTGGTAATTTTGCAAGTTTTAAGTAAAAATTTTAAACATTAAAATAGCCTCATTTTGCTTTCCATAGCTCCTTTTTTTGAGAGTGATTCTGTTGAGTGTGTCAGCTCTGGTTGCTAGAACACTGGGAAGACCCTGGCATGGAGTAGCATAGTGGGTACCGAGGCATTTCAGTGTTACATAGTTGAGTTTTCCTGAATAGTTCTACCGTGTGAGTCTGAGTGTTCATTTTCTTCTGCAGATGACATAAAGACCCTTGGTGTACAGACCTCTGTATCAACATGTGCAATGGCACTTGAAAATTGTTCTAGAAAAGGCACTGTTCGGATGGAACGAATCACTTTCACAGATTTATATTTTTTTTTTTATCACTTTGTCCTCTGAAAACATTCACCATTTTCATGACAGGGGCTATTCCACTGGGGATCTGTGGATCTGTAACAGCTGTCATCATTCGGAATCTTCAAATTGCTTATGTAATTGTTCCTGTGATCAGTAAAATAGATTCTCCATGTTGCACAGTTACTTATAAATTTGGATTGCTACTTTTAAAGAGAAAGATACAGTGTCAAGATGAATGAGCTGTGATGTTGTTAATATTTCATATAAGAATCGTTCTCATTAGCTTAAAAACTAGTAAACAAGCCATCGATGAATCAGATGCATGTTTAAGGCAGATTTTTATCTTTGAAATATTATGTAAGTATTGATTAATATCTCAAAGCTACAGGGTTTTATTGTTGGTTTGATTTTTTTTTTTGCTATGAAAATAGCAGAATGGTCTCTCATGCTGCTCAAACACCCACTGTCACACTCAGAATTCCGCAAAGCTAGGCAAAGCCACAGTTCAGACTGTGCTCTTGGTGTTCGAATTGTTCCAATAAAGTATTTCGTGAGAAAACTGTTGTCTCATTGAGTTCCAGTAAACAAGAAAAAATAGATCATGCTGGAGACTTAACCTCCCAGAAGAGCACAATCTCCCAGAAATCTCCCAACCATTCTCATGTGCGAACATCGGTTCTTCCACTTACACAAAGCTGACGCGCCCTTCTCCTGGAGCTTCTCCGAAGAGATCCATCACGTGTTCCACCACCACCATGGCCCCATTATATTCAGTCAAGTCACTCCACAGTCTTAGAGCTGATCCTTGATGGATTTAGTGAACCTGTTGGCTGCTGCCGTGTTAAGGGTGGGGCATTTCATCTTAGAAGCACTCAGTCTTCTCTCTGGAATAACTGTCTAAGAATGGCTCCTCCATGTGAGCCTGTAAAGGGCTTACATGAATTCTTGTAACAATGCTGTTAGTGTCGTTAGCTGTTTTTTTCAGGTGGCTGCATCTCTCTATGTGGTTGACAGTTTCCTTGAGTGATGACCGACAACAACTAGCCTGTTCTTTGCTTGCAGGTACTACAGCGCAACCATCCTGCAGATGTCGGGCGTAGAGGATGACAGACTTGCGATATGGCTGGCTTCCATCACGGCTTTCACTAATTTCGTTTTCACACTGGTTGGAGTCTGGCTCGTCGAGAAAGTGGGTCGCAGGAAGCTTACTTTTGGTAGTTTGGCAGGTAGGTGCCTGGATGTCAAATCCTGCTTTGAAATACCTTCTGAACTGTGTCACTACAGCAGTTCTCTTGAAAGATAACAACAGACTGTGAGAGTGATTTTTTTTTTTTGAGCTGAGCAGCCCAAACCTAGAATGATGGACAGAGAGCAAGTAAATAAAAGATGAGATCCTTCATCCAATTCTGTGGTAAGTGGCTAAAAACAGGACCACGATACGAAGACATTGGAAGGATGCATTTACTGAGGATGTGTTTCTGTCAACAGTTGGAGAGCTGCTCCGAGAAGCAAAGGTGAAGAGCATAGCCATGATCTTCTCTGCCCTTGCTTGAGAAGCTTGTCAATTACGATCTTATTTTGCAGCATTGTAGTTTTGAATTTGGAATAGTGTAGAAGCAAATATTAGAATCGTCCTTCACAAAGCAAGGACAGACTCACTAAAACATTGAAGCAGGCCTAAGTTCTAGGGCAAAAAGTCTGATGGGTCAAGTGTGTGTTGTTATGATAGCAAATAAAAGAAAACCACAAATGTCTTTTATGTTAAAAGTTGGCCCTTTCACCAGTTGTTTCTCTGTAAAGGACTCTGTAAAGGGTCCCACCTTTAATGTTGTCTTTACATGGTTAGATCAAGTATATTTTTTTAAAAACGCATTTAGCTGTATCCCCACAGCAACTCACTCAAACACAATGATTTTAGAGTAGCATTAACTAAAATCTATCTAAACAGAATTGTATCAAAAACAAAAGTTCATCTCACAGAACTGCTTTAGCACTTACCAGAGTTTTTGGTGGGAAAATGCATTCTGATTTCCAAAATCAGCTACTAGGGGTTCGACCCCTCCTTCCTGGAGTGAGCAGGATGATGATCCCATTCCTATGGTTGGAAGCCCTCTTTCTAGTGGGCGGAAGTTCACTTCAATTGTTGGAGCTGAAGCAGTGGTGAAGGGTCACCTAGGGCTCAGGATGATACCTTGGAGCCCCAAATTAAGGGAAGACAGGTGAGAGACAGGAGGAAGTTTTAAAGCAGGCATTTATAAACCTGCTGAAGTAAGAAGAGGCATTTAGCCTAGAGAAATGATGCAAGAAGGAGATAAAAGGTTAGTCTAGCAGATAATGCATGCTAGGTGAACCTAAATATGTCTCCTTTTTTCCCACTCAGACAGGGCCTCCCACTCAGACAGGGCCTCCCACTAAACCTGGAGCTCACATGTTGGTTAGAGTAGTCTGCAAGAAACGCCAGTGAGACTCCTGTTTCCACTACTCTAGTCTTAGGATTTTTGGCGTAAGCTGTCACCTGAGTTTTTATCTGGGTACTGGCAATTGAATATAGGTCCCAAGCATACACAGCAAGCACTTAACACTATCTCTCAGTGTTGGCATGAGCCTCAAGGGTCAGCAAGTCCAGTCTCTAGCCTACTTAATGAATGTGTCTCTAGGACTGCTTCCCCAATGATAATCTATCATTTCAAACTAATGAGTCATTCTAATTCATTGATTGACTATGCCTATGCACACACACACATACACACACACACAAATAACAATAATACAGTCATGATTTTGGGTTGGACTGGATTCTACATATGTGCAATCCTAGCATTCAGTAGGCAAAGATAGGAGAATCATAAATGTAAGGGCTACCTTGGCTACACAGTGAGATCAAGGCCAATGCTCACTATATATTGAGATCCTGTCTCAAAATAATAAAAAGATGATAATTAATTTTGATAGTGTTATAATGTTCTATAATATGCTATGTAATAGTGAATTGATGTTAATGGATTTGTACATATATCAATTCTGTAGGCTCTAGAATAGAATTTATAGAACTGACATATATTATAAAGGGGCTATTTTAGTTTGGTTTCGGTTGTAAGGCTGGATAATCCAGCAATGGCTCCCTCACACTGGAGAGGCTGAGAACTTCTCAGTCCAGGAGCCTGCATGACTCAGCTCTCTGAATTTAGCACTGAAGGCTTGAAGGATGACTGTACAGCCCCTGATTTTCAGTCTTCAGTTGAAGGCCAGAGAAGCAGCAACAGCAGTAGCAGCAACATCAGCAGGGTAGATGCCCTCACCAGCAAGGAGATAAGACAGGCAGACAAAAACAGCAGTGTTCTTTACTTAGGCCATTTATATCTGTATCATCCCTCCCTTGGCTACTCTATCTATGACCCCCTTTATAGACCAGACCAGAGCTGTGTCTGTTTGTGATTCCATATCTGATCCAGTTGAAAACAACTCATCGCAAATAACTTGGATAGGCCTTATAATAATTTCTTTAAAATAATTACTGAGAAAATATTTAATCCTACATAAAAATTCTAATGCAAAAAAATGCAAGGAACATTTTGTAGTTTTCAGATATTTTTAGTATTTTACTGGCTTGTTGAGATAATTGAAACTTTTTTTTTTTTTACAAATTTTATAACAATTTCTTCTTTCAGTGAACTGTGAAAGGGTGCTATCTAAAGAAAGATATTGGTGCTAAGTCTTAGGAAAATATAAACACTATTTTTTCACCAAATATTTTTGTAGTGCAAAATTCATGAAAATGTCTCTGATAGGCTGTATCCCTCCGCATGGACAAGGCTATGTATTTGAAAGTGTGGGTTCTTGGACCCTGTTTCAGCCTCTAACAATAAGGTCTACAGCATATGCATCTTCCCCTGGTAGAACTCAGGCACATTTATGAAAGCTGGGGGCTGGAAAAGAGAAATTACTTCTACTGAGCAAAACTTCTACTCGTGAACCAAATTCTATACCAATTAATTTATGTAACTTATTACAGCAGATGTTTCTCAAAACAATATTATCCAACATATCTTACTTTCTATAAAGAATATCTTTATTAGAAGAGTGTCACCAAAATTCCAAAATCTATCAGTGTACTTGGTTAAGAGAAATATTTTTAAAAAAATAAATAAATAAAACAAAACAAAACAGGGTCCCAGACCTTAGCAGAACTGACTCCATGATAGAAGTATCAGTCAGGCTGTAAAACTCAGCCATAGACAGCATCGACTGCCAAACCTAAAGGAAGACCTAATCCATCAAAATCCATAGTTCTAGGAGAGAATCAAAATGTACTAACCTTGCTTTAGGCTTCTGTGGCTCCAATTCTAACTAATTGTTCTTGTTAACTGGAGTAGGTCAACCCAGACATGGTTTTTGTGATTAAAAGCTAACTTTGAGAAAGGTTTGGGGCTCCACTGGAAACCTGAATATCCAGTGTAGTCTGGCCAGCTAATCAAGACTTTCTATTTGCTTAAACCAGTGTTTGAGCAGTCCTCTCTGAATACCACACAGCATTTCTCTGAAAAAAGTAAAGAACCTAACAAAGCCTTCAGTCGTAATTCATCATATATGAGCTTCAAATGATTCTGTTGACAAAGGCTATAGTATATAGTACTGTTGCATGTTATAGCACGTTCTAACAACATGGGTGATTCAGGTAGTTTCATGATATTTCAGAATGAAACAAACTCAAAGTTTTTTTTTTAAGATAATTTTCAAACGAATACCATAAACAGAATTATTTAAGAAGCTCTGCTCCCTGGGAAGTTTATTATGATCTAAGGGCTTTTATCCTTGCCTGGGTAGCACAGACTCCTGCGGAGCTCTGATACCCAGACCTCACAGTATGACTCTGAGGTCGGGATACATCCCAAAATTCCCTCCAATTGAAAGTCAAGATCTACAGATGTTCCTCATGCAGTTAACTGGCTTTTACAGATTTACTTCCATCAAAATTGGATTTAGATAAAAATCAATGTGGCTTCCAGTGGCTGCTGTTCTAGAACCTTTACCCTTTTGAGTTCTAGCATTTAGGATTCAGAGTGACCCAGACGATGTAGGAGCTCTAGCCATTGGGGTTCAGGGTGTCCCAGATGATGTATGGACTCTAGCTGTTGAGAGGTCACTGTGTCCAGGATGACCCAGTCCCTGCATTTTTCATGTTGGAAGAGTTTTTAGAGGCAGATGCTTTAGACATACTCTTGGCTTTGCAGACTCCCCTGACCCCCAACCCGGGGATGATTACGCTGAGCATTGAAATTTGAGTCTTGATCTAAAATAGCCAACATTGCAAAAACCATTCTACCTAGACAGCATCTCCTGAGACACAGATATGTGTGTATTTGAAATATATATTTTAAATGTTACCTATTTGAAAATGTGATGGCCCTACTGTCCTAGAGCTAAGATAATATGAGTATATGAAAATTTCTAATAGGTATATGGTAAATTTTCATGAACATTGGTTCTTTAGCAACTTTATAAAGGAATGTGACATCTTTATTTCTCACCTTAAAGTGTCAAAGTTTCCTGATGAAACTCTTTACTCTGATTCACAGCAATGAGCTATGAAAGTAACTGAGGAAAACAGCCATGTACTTATGTGCCTTCAGTTGACAAATTAACAAGAGAAGTCATGTTATATCTTGTTTTGTATTAGAACAGAAGACTTTTTAAATACAAAACTATCTCCTTTGTGTCTCAATTCAAAGTTTGATAACCTTTTGAGGAACATAAAGTCTCCGATTTTTACTATTCGCTTTGTAACTACTATGGTCCAGTTTGACAGTAGACCTATGGTCATCCTTAATCCTGCCCTATCCCCCAGTACACACACTTGACCTTTTCTATGTTGTTTGAAAGTCTGTTTCTCTGCTCAGTCTAACAATTGTATAGTAATTCACATTTTCGTACATTGCATAGCATTACAAAAGATCTTTTAATTAAGTAGTAGCGTGTAAAATTTAAAAATTCCATGTGTGTTTTCACTAAGACCCATTTAACTCAGTGAAGGCCATGTGCTCTGGTAACACAGAGCTGAGTAACACCCGAGGCCACCTCAGCCCAGCTGCTGCTGTCCTGCCACATGCTCTCCCAAGGCTCATTTACTTAGTCATTTAATGACAGTTTTGGTTGTATCATAAATCACTTGCTTGTCATCTCAGTAAATCCTGTAATACCACATACATTCCATCCCTAAGCTCCATACTGTAAACATACTGTCCCAGGTCGGTTGTACAGCTAACACAGAATCTCTTTCTTCCGGTTACTCCTACATATCCTCACAATTCTATGCCTGAAACAGAAATTGAAAGCTTGGTGTGTGTGTGTGTGTGTGTGTGTGTGTGTACACTGTGCATGTATGAGTGCGAGTGTATGTATGCGCATGCATGTGCACACATCTGGGTGTGACCAGGGCCTTGTGCTAGGCATGTGCTGTACCTCTGAACTGCATCCATAGCACATGGCTTACTGAGACAGAGTCTTGTATTATAGCACAGGTTGGCATAGATTGGTGATCCTCTTGTCCCTGCCTTCCAAGCGCTAGAATTGCAGGAACATCCTGTGAGACCTGGTGACACTTGGTCTCTCCAGCGATAGAAATGATCATGAATCCTGTTTCTTAAAATGAAGAGTAGATGTTCAGTCCAAAGTACTCATGGGAAAAGTGAATGGGTGCATGTGGTATGTGCCTTTTGGAAAGCCATTCCCTTTTTAATAGGCACTATCTTTTCACCTGCCCTAGAAATATTCAGTCTGGTACCTTATTTCGCTAATTCACATCTTGCCTGATCAAATGCCATTGGGAGAATTTCTTGACTCTCACAGGAACATTTGACACACATCTCTCTCCTTTTGTGCGTCTATTGCGCTAGTTACTTGATGATGAGAGTTATTTTCATTGATTGATTTTTTTTTGAAATTTGTAATCAATCTTAGATCTTTTTTTTTGTTTGTTTTGTCTGCTTATTGTTTCATTCTTAGAAAATCATTACCAATTTACTCTGGCTAACAACTGGATTTGCTCTGAATTCTGCTTTCTCTGAGTCTCACAATGGGTGTGTGCAAGTGAGTCCTTCTGACCATTAGTTTACATAGTATTTTTTAATCAAGAGAAGATAAATCAATGACTGTTATTCAGAACTACAATGTCAAATCGAGTCTATGTTGAAATAACGCTGTCAGTGCTCTTCAGTAAAAAGTGTATTATTATTGTTGTTGTTGTTTTATTTTTAGGTACCACAGTAGCACTTATTATTCTTGCCTTGGGATTTCTGCTCTCCGCGCAGGTCTCACCAAGGGTCACTTTCAGACCAACAGCTCCTGCGGGTCAAAATGCCACCTGCACGGGATACAGGTGAGAGATTCTCTTAGGTTCCCTCTTCTTCATCCAATGATGGTTATTTTTATTTTGTTATTTTTTTTTTAGAATTTCTAAAATACAAATGAATAGGAGATTCCTGAGTTTGCAGGCTTGTGTCTGAAGGGATTGTGATGGGAAAAGTGGGTGGGGACCATCTGTATGAAAAACATAATCTTCAAAGACATAGTAGAAAAAAAAATGAAGGAAAATGAGGTGTGTAACCCATTGGTCATGTTCCTCTAAGAACCAAGACTGAGGATTAATACTTCATCAGTAATGTAGTGAGCTTAGTTTAGCTAACTAGGTGGTAGCGTCTACATTGTAGGCAAAGTGAATAACTTCTGTCAGCTCTTGGTCTTGGCCTACTGCAAGTGTTCACCAGACATACATTCTTTACTGAAATTCATAACCAGAATCCCCTACTTCAAATGGAGCAGGAAGCTTCCTCAGCATGGTTGCTCTTCCAGGAGCTCAGGAGGAGGAAATGAAGGTGAAAAAAAAAATGTCTCAATGTCCAAGTTTCCCTCAGCTCTCATTAAGTCTAACAGTGTGACCACTGAGTGCAAATGAATGCACTGAGAGGCATCCTGAAGGTGAGTTAATGAAAGAGTGATTGGACAGCTTTGAGAATTCAGACCTGTCCTAAAGAATGTTTCCTTCAGATGCTGGCTCTTCGATTATTTATAATATAGCCTTAATATACATGTAGTAAAATCTGAAGATCTCTAGACACAACTGTTCCCTAAGGCATTCAGTTATAGAATCTCAAAGTACCCATGAACTATGGTTTTATCTTATACATTCTTGATGCACTTGAAAGTATCTATGGAATATCTATGGGGTAAGGACCTTGGAGGTTGTAGTAAAGATGAAATAACATGTAGAAAATGCCTAAAACAGCACTTGTGTGTATACGTTCTCAGTGTTATACCTTCAGATATAATTAATAAAACCATATCAGAAGTGAAGATTGGAATGGTAGGACTCAGAGAACACTAGCTTTGTGGGCAGGGTGTGTGAATTGAGCCCTGGAAAGTAAGTAAGAGTAAGCTCATCAAGAATACAGTAGGCCCAATGACCATGCAAGTAGCTGGGAACAGTACTGGCTGGTTTTGTGTGTCAACTTGACACAAGCTGAAGTTATCACAGAGAAAGGAGCCTCCCTTGAGGAAATGCCTCCATGAGATCCAGCTGTAAGGCATTTTCTCCATTAGTGATGAAGAGTGGGAGGTCCCATTGTGGGTGGTGCCATCCCTGGGCCAGTAATCTTGGGTTTTATAAGAAAGCAAGCTGAGCAAGCCAGGGGAAGCAAGCCAATAAGTAGCATCCCTCCATGGCCTCTGCATCCTCCTGCTTCCTGACCTGCTTGAGTTCCAGTCCTGACTTCCTTTGGTGATGAACAGCAATGTGGAAGTGTAAGCTAAATAAACTCTTTCCTCCCCGACTTGCATCATGGTCATGATGTTTTGTGCAGGAATACAAACCTTGACTAAGATGGAAACTGAGTAAGAAGAAAAGGTTAACCATGGGCCAATGAGAATACAGCAGACAAAGATGAGGCTATGAAAAGGCCAGTTCATCCAAAACATCAGAGCCTTTTGCTCTTCGGCTTGAGAGCATGAACATGTATGCAAGATTCTAAGCACAGGAGAGCCTTGACCAAAATTTCCGTTCTGTACCTCTCTCTGGATGTGTGGATTCACAAACTCCATGCATCCGTATAGGAAGGCATCTGTTACAGACATCTGTGATTGAGATGATTGTTGCCTGGACTGCGCTGCTAATGTTGGAGATTTAGAAAATGAGACTGATTCTCAACATAAACAAAAGAATAGTCAATAGGAATTAAAAATAAGTGACTGAGCTAAAGAGAAAGGCGTCTTCAGAGAATTTCAAGTATCTACATGAGGGGGCAGGTAGACGGTACTGTGTATATGAAATGAGGTACTGAATGAGGCAAGATGATAAGTTGTTGTGGGCAGACTGAGCTGTAGTAAAATATTGTACAGCCATTGTGGGGAGGAAGGTGTGTGATAGTCAAGGCTTAGGAATCGAGTGTATCGATCGGTAAGCATCAAAGATATGGATACAGTAATACGTGGTTCCGCAGCTAAGAACTTTACTGAGCCACTGACTACCTTTGTTATTCCACAGTAGTTCTCTGATCAAACAGACAGTACGTTCCCATACTTTGTGTTCTGTTCCCAGTGTAACCTAACTTAAAGCTCTCTTCATTCAAGGAAACAGAAGTCCACGGACACTATATTCTCTTCCCAGAGCACTCTAGTTGACTGCTTGTTCTTTTGGCCTCTCCTTCTGACTTCCCATGTAGAGTCCCATTTGCACAGCATCACTTGCAGTCATTGTTTCTTCTAGTACCTTCAGGCTCTGTCTTCTTGCCTTAGACCAGGAAGGCAGTATATCAGTGACGACAACCTAGAGATTGGATAATTTTACTAAACCACTGGCAGCTGGCACATTACCTGTTCATCACATTTCTTATTATACTTGATGTCCTGTGACAATCGAAATACACTGGAGGACTGTACCTCCAGCCCTCTACACTTTTCTGTTTACTGTCTCTCAGTTGGAACTGTGACCTAGACTCATCACTGGAGGTGTTTAAAGCCACAGGAGAGAGGGGCAGAGTGTACAAGCGTGCCCGTTACCTTCCATGTTTTTCTTAATGCTAATTTCACTTTGCCCTTCCCAACTTCTCTCACACCGTCAAGCCAAGAATACAAAGCTGTCCAGTATGGCTCCTTGTGTCCAGTGATGCCACTCTGTGCTTTCTTCTTTAAATGAAGCTTTCAGACATCTATACTATAAACTGCAATGTCACCTGATCACCTCCTTGTGGCAGTGACATAAGTTCAAGAAATCAATGCTCCTTCCATTCCTCATGGCTCTCAGCAGCCATGTCAAGTAATTCTATAGCTACTACACTCCTTCCTTCTCCTGTTGGCCATGTTTGAGAGTCTAATATCATTGACATAGCATTATGATACTGTCAGATTCAATCATAATGTTTAGGTGACATTGAAATGGGCAAAAATCCTACTCTCTGGTACTGTTCCTCATTTTAACATGATGGCAATGATTTCACCATTTCTGCTCATGCCTAGCAACTAGGCAGTGAATTTATGACTACACGGAATCATAAATCACCCTTTGAGTCCTCCATGAATTTTTTTTTAATTTTGATGACTTGAAGTTTGTCAAAAACTTGTGCTGCTCTCATAGCATTAAGTTTCTCTAGTCAGAAAGCTCTTTCTGGAGCCAGACATGGTGGTGTAAACCTATAATCTATGTACTTACAAGGAGGTTGCAGGAGGATCAGAAATTTAAGATCATTGCCAGTCTAGGCTCTCTAATACGTTCTCATTAAAACAAGTGTTTCTTGGTAAGTCAGGAATATAAAAGGGAGGAATCTGAGAATAAATGTGCAAAGAGTAAGGGCAGTGTATTCCCAGAAGCATCTATCATGTCTGCTATGCAGGTCATAAACAGGCAGGATGAAACTGGGCATGATGGCATTCCATCACTCGAGAGACAGAGGCAGACAAACACCTGAGGATTTGGTGCCTGCATCATCTATGTAGTGAATTCCAAGCCATTCAAGGCTACCTAGTGAGACCCTGTCTCAAGAAAAAAGAAAACGTGAATTCTTCAAGGAACCTTGTCTTGATGAACATTGAAAAAAATACAGAAAAATGGATTGGATGATAGCTGATACAAACATGCCTAACCAACATGAGCTGTGAGAGTCCCTGGAATATAGGGGGACTTCATGGGCAATAAGGTAAAAAAGGCATAATTAGGGTTGCATATTTAAGATATTACTATAGCTGGAGAATGGAGTTAATGAGAGAAGGACAAAGGGATGAAGGGACATGGGTAGCCTAGGCAACAGTAATTATAATCTTGATCACAGTGGAGATAGATTTAGGATATAGCATGAAAGGTAATGACAAGAGTGAATGGTTAGTTGGGTGACAAGAGAGAGCAAACACATTACAAAATGACCATTGGGCTTAGCATCTGGCACCTGCAATGTCACTGTAGACTGATGTATTAATTTGCTTTTCTGTTGCTGCTCTAAATATCATAACCAAAACAATCTGAAGAAGAAAGGGTCTTTTTAGCTTATACTTCCACATCACAGTTCATTGAGGGAAGTCAGCATCAGAACCTGTACAGGAACCTGGAGCAGGAAATGGAACAGAGACCATGGTTGAACAGTACATACTAGCTTGCTACTCAGCTCACTCAGCCTGATTTAATATACAATCCAGGAATACCAACCCATGGATGGCATCATACACAGTAGACTGTGCCCTCTCCTGTCAATCATGAATCAAGAAAATGTCCCACAGTCTTGCCTACAGGCAATGTGGTAGAGACATTTTGTCAAGTAAGAGTCCCTCGGCCCAGATGATTGTAGCTTGTATCACATGGACAAAAATACTTACCAGAGCATCCACCTCTTAGGAACATTTTTAATGATAGGAGTCTGAGACTCTTCCCATTCTCCAGCTCTAGACAGGGCACTAACAAGGGAGCACTTAGTTCTAGACTAGGCACTAACAGCCCAGCACTTAGCATTTTTGTTAGTCATATTCCTACTGTATTTATGTCCTCATTTAGTACTTTTGAACTCAAAATATACACGTGAAAACTCTTCTGAACTTATACAATTAGTTCCAAAGGTCAACAAGAAGGTAAGAAAGAAACAAAAACTTATGTATCTTAGATAACCCAGATGTCTTATTCACTATTCTAGTCATGTGAAGAGACACCTTGGTCAAGGCAACTTAGATTAAAGTTTCAGAGGGCCCGTCCATGGTCACTGCAGTGGGAAGCAGGCAGGCATGGGATTGGAGTAGTAGCTGAGAGCTTTACAACCTGATCTGTAGACAGCAGGCGGAGAGAGGAGCCCTGGACCTGGGGTAGACACACTAACACTTCTATTCTTGTTCTAGAAGTTTGGTCCT